ATTGTACCAGCAGGACCCTGCTTTGGTAAGGGTCCCCCACAAACAGCAACTCCTTTCTGCCCCAGTCAGGCCAGCGCTCAGCCCCCAGTGCCTTCTTGTCCTGTCCCCCTCACTGCATCCCCCGTTTGACCCAACCGCCCTGCCTGATGGCAGCTGGCACGGCTCCGGGTCTGCGGGGGAAGCCAGAGGTACCTCTGTACTGGAATAACACTTACTTTGTGGAGAAAACTGGATCCTTGGGCACCTCAACTGCTGTCAGGACTAAATCGTAACTACACTCCGGAGTGGAGACAGAGCCAGGGAAGGTTTGTCAGAGCCCAAGAACAAAACACAGCTTTGGAGCTAAATCCTGATGGGCTTTGAGAGTCACAGCAAGGGCATGTGGCCCCCCTTCCTCCTGGAGCCGTCGGACCTGCTGCTCCTTTGGAGTAACCCATGATGGTCACAGCTGGTTGGCTGCAGCCTCGGGAAGATAGTGCCCATCGAAGAGGTTGTCCCCCAGCCCATGCACCTGCAGAGGACCTTTTGGTGGAGCATCCCTGTGCACTGCAGCAGGGTGGGGAGGTGGTCATTGCTCTATTAAATACAAGATGCACTGGCCTGCTCGTTCCCTGTTGTTTGTGCAGCTCGGTGTTTACCTGGGGCGGGGAGCAGGGCTGAGTGGGATCCCACCAGGACCCCTCCCAGCCACAGCAGAAGGGGAGCAGGGGAGCACTCAGGTCCCAGAAGGACATGAGACCCAAGGCCACCGAACTATGCTGAAGCCACCACCGTTATGGCAAAAGTACTTTATTATATACATAAGACTCCAGCCACACTCCACAGGGCAAGGACCAGAATTTGCTATTTTACATATCAATACAAAGTAACTATAAAAACATAAAGCACTTTTGGGGCCCAGGCTTTCCACAGGAGGAGAGAGGCACAGGGACCAACCTGGGGGCTGCTGAGTGACAGGGGGCTGCCCCACACCCTCCCCCAGCTGTGGTCCCACAGTAACCAGATGTGCAAGTAGGAAAGAACCCAGTTAAGAAACATAGTCATGAGGACTGGCAAATGGGGGCTGTCCCACTCCCCCCTGCAGGCAGCGGCCTCCGAGTGTCACCAGGACAGGAGCGGGGTCTGCGTCCCCCAGGGAAAGTGCAGAAGGCACATGGGCCTGGCTCTTTGGAGGGGCTGGGGGGGGGTTGGGGAATCCAATGGTCAGTGCACGTGGGGCCCCGGGAGATCACATACACACACCCCCCATGCACAGGGGACACGGAAGGGGAGAAGCCTTCCACTGCCAAACTTAAACTAGGGGCCTGGAGAAGGCAAATCCCGTGTCTCTGGAGCTGCAGTTGCATAGCAGAAGGGGCTCAGGGCCCACTCTTGACAAGTCATTAGGTTTCACTCTATGTGTCTAGGGGGAAAAAAAAACCAAACAAACTTATGTGATGGAGTGAGTGCTGGGAAGCAAGGCCTTCCCACCTCCTGGCTCCATCTGAGCTCAGGTCTCAGCATCCAGCTGGTGTTGAAGCAGATGCTGCACCAGACAGCTCTGTGGGCAGGAGGTGGCCACAGGGTACAAGCTTCAGTTGTTTTAAACTGGAAGTGGAACACATGGAAAGCTAACCAGAGCACTCTCCTGTCCTGCTTCCAAAGGGCTCAGAGCCCTGCCATGGCCAGCTCCGAGGATAACTTCAGCCTCCTATCAGGGATCCCACCCCCCTTCACACAGCAGACCTCAGTGCAACTGGAGGGCATGAACCAAGGAGGGCTGCTCCACAAGAACAGCCTTTGTAATCACCTAAGAGGATACCTTTGCTGCTCTTGCCCCAACAGGACCATCCTGGGGCCATGGGCACAGCAAACAAAACCAGGAGCACCATGGGCCGGGGGAAGGACCTTCCCCCCCAGCCCCATGCAGCCTACAAGGCTGATGAGCCAGAGATGGATGGCTTCAGCAACACCCCCAAGATGCAGAGCCCCAGCCTGCTTCAGGTGTCGGCAGGACTGATGTCCCTTCCCCTCCTGCCCTGGAGAGCAGCACACTACACGCAGGCAGTTTGCCTGGGCTGCACCTACTTGCTGGAGAACTTGGGTCACAGGGGCTTTGCCATCGCAGCCCACCTGAAGGTCCAAGGCAAGGAAAGGAAAAAGGTGAGGAAAAAGGAGGAAGGGGAATCACATCTTGGGATAAGTGTAAGCTTCCACCACACCACAGAAAAACTACTTGGACTAGGTTCTCCTCGGCTGCCCTGGGGGAAAGGCACTGAGCCAGCTTCGTGTGAGGACAGAGATGTTTCCGAGCGACCTAGTGCGCGGCTGGACCACCCTCCTCTCCCCCCTCTGGGGTAGCCGAGCTCTGTGGCCAACGCGATCCCCAGGGAGGACACGCGAGGCAGCTTCCAGGAGTCAGAAGTGCAAGGGGGACAGTCCAGTCCCGCAGCTCAGCCCCTCCCCTGCCATTACTGAGCATTGATTGTCTAGCCAAACCAGGCTACAAGTTTTCAGCTTAAAAAGGGGACTCCTGGCCTCCTTGCTCTGGAGGCACTTCAGTCACAGAAGCGCTTGCGGGGCACCGTCCGAGCTCGGTTAGAGCGGCGAATCTCCTGCTTGGCATCGCGGCATCGCTGGCAGATGAAAACCTCAGGCACGTTGGATTTGCGGATCTTGGCACAAGAGAGGTGGATCCAGGTAGCGCATTCGTTACATTCGATCATGGGCCTCCCTGCAAAGGGCTTCAGGCAGAAGCAGGTGATCAGATCCCAGGCATCGTCATCTGGTCAGCGAAGAGAAATACCGGTCAGAAACCACCTTACCAGCTGCAAGTCTGGCTACGGCCAGACTAGCCAATTCCACTGGCGTTAACTGGGACAGCCCTGCACTCACCTTCTGCTTTGGTGTTGGGAGCTGCTGTGAATTCGACTGCTAAAGTTGCATAAAAGGGGAGGGGAAGAGAAAAAAAAATAAAACACCAGATGAGCAAGGCAGCCCTACATCCCACTTTAGACACATTTCAAGTCTGTACCACTCGTTCTGCAGAACAAAGCTGCCAAAGGGCAGGCCAGCTCCCTGCCCTCTGCTCTTCAGTCCCCCCAGGTCCCAAAAGTACCCCCCTTGCTGGGAGAGGCTCGGGCCATGACAAGATCTCCCTGCAGCCAGCACGGGTGGCTCCAGCTGCGGGAGGGACAACATTCGGCACTGCCTGTAGCACAACAGGGCTCTCTGCCCTCCCTTGGACACTTACCACTAAGCTGGGAGCTTCCTCTGCTTGCATCTTCCCCTTCGCTTTGGTCCAAGGTACTACAAGAACTGGGGCTTTTCCTCCCTCCAGAGCAGGGGTCATGCTCCTTTAGCTGAGGATCATCTCCGGGCTTCTCGGTTTCCTGCACTCCAGGGATCCAGTCCTTCTCCTCCTTCATCAGCTCCTCCAGGAGGGAGTTGGGCTGGGGGTCCCCAGCCGGGTTGAGGGAAGGCTCCAAGAGCTCCTCTTTCACAGGAGGCACCTGTCCCTCCAGCACAGCCAGCTCCTTCACCCCGTCCTGCTCTGCCCCAAAGCCCTTCCCAGCGCTCAGCGGCACCCTCTTCTCCACCTCCTGCTCCAAAATCAGTTTTTTTGCTGGTGGTTTCTTCCGTTTGGTTTGCTGGGGCCGGACATTGTAGAGGCTGGTGGGGAAGGCAGGGCAGCTCACGAGCAGGCTGTTGTCCACAGC